AACATCTATATTTGTTACACAGAAAGTCATAGGGGTATTTTCTGAGCATTTAGATTAAATTAGATTTTATGCAATCATGAGATTACTCCATTTTGCAACAATTTAACAACATAGATTCCTTGACTTACGACCATTTGTTTAGCAACCATTTGAAGTTACAAAATAATTGAAAAAAAATTGTATTTGTTTATATTTCATATTTCTTATATATCAAATTTCTGAACTCCCCTTCAGAGAGGGGTTCTGGGCAGTGATCAAACATCCCATTTATGACTCCATGATCTCCATGATCAAAATTTGAACATTTGGCAACCAGCATGTATTTACAATGGTTGCAACATCCTAAGAGTCACATAATCACCATTTGTGACCTTCCCAACTGGCTTCTGATTGGTATAGTCAATGGAGAAAATCAGATTCAGTTAACTTCTTAACTTCTCAACCAAGAAGATTGTTCAGCTAAAGAAGCTTCTTGGATGAGAAGCAAAATGTCTTCAAAGAAAAAACAGAAAGTCCAGTTGCCTCTTGAAAAAGCACCTTTGGGGCAACCATGACCTGGATGACTGAGAATCTCCATAATCAGATTCACTTAGTGATTGCAGCAAACCAGGTTGTAAAATCAGGTGTGATATATTTAATGACTACCTTTCTTAGTGATGGAAGTTCTAGTCCCAATTGTTATAAGCTGAGGATTACCTATACAGATACTTGAGGCATCAATAAATTTTATAAAATTATTTATTTACTGATTACCATAGCACAGAGTAAGATGCTTGAATCATGGTAGTGGAACCTCTTTCTTCTAAAGACAAAACACAAAAGTTGTTAGACATTTGAAAATGACTGCATTGTTATTTGTGTGCCTCTGTTCACTTCCACAGACTATTTCTTGACTCTGTAGTTTATAGCCCTGCATTAGAAACTTCCTTTGATCAGGAAATATAGTGGATCAAAAGAAAATGACAACACTAAATAGGATGCAATCAAGTTTTAAAACCTGGAACATTTTTGGTTGCATGATAAACTTGATGACAGTATACGTTTTCACACTTTAAAGATCAAGTATACTGACTGTCACATTTTAATGAGCACCAGGATTATTCACCTAGATATTAATATTCATTGTAATATATAAAGTTGTATATAAATTCCAAAACTTTCAATGAGTAATTAGATACTTTATAATGAAGGATAAAGATAACAAGAAAGACAGACAATCTAATGCATTTAAATTCTAGAGTTAATCTCTTGTTGATGTAACTACTGACACAGCTTCTTCATTTGAGAATGAATCATGGCAAATAGAGAGAACCATGGGCTGACTTAGTAATTATTGTTTACAGACTTATATTCCTGTAATGGGCATAACAAAGTTGAAGTAAGTTCTGCAATTCAAGCTTGACAGAATATCTTTTAATCAAAAAAGTCAATGCTTTCTAAGCTAACAAGCATCAAAAGCCATAGGAATTAATGACTCCACTACAAACAGATCAATCTTTGATAGATATGTTCCATTACTGAATTGCACCAATCGTCTTCTAATGCAACTGCTTCTGTCAACCCACCTTCATCCTGCTTGAATCTGTGCACATGTGGACTTGCATCAAAGGAGAGGTCAGGAAAGCACTGCAGAACTTTCTTCATGCACAAAAATGACCATATTAGCACAAGTGTTTAAGGCTTGATTCCAAAGCAAGGTAAAAAGCTACTACAAGGGAGGGAGGAAGGAGAGAAGGAAAGAAGGAAAGAAGGAAGGAAGACAGAAGGCAGGCAGGCCTTATGCCATTCTGTCAGTCAGGGAACCTCAGAGATGTTGGCGAGCAAACCATTAAAAGGATCATAGAAGAGTATCCAATAAGCTTTGGATGGTTCAACAATCCTATTCATCTTTATATAATCGCAATATTAATGTTTAATTAATTAATGTCTAACTAAATAATGCTGCTATTCATCAAAATGCAGCAGTTGAAGTTCAATCCCAGGGGATTTCCAAATAGCTTATGCAGCCTCCATCCCATAATTAATCAACTCTTGTTTTCAGTGATCCCAGCTCACCTGATTTTGCCAGAGCCAAAGAGGACAAGTTGATCTTATCTTGCCTTTGAAATTGCTTTGCCTATTCTTTCCAAGAGTGGAGACATCAAGGTTTCTTTATTTATATAATTTATTGGCCACCCATCTTACCACAGGTTAAAGAGTATTTGCTTATACCAGGCCATCCCAAGGGTTTGGACTGATGATGAGATAGATCTTCCTACTTTACACAGGTATACAAACAAAACAAAGCATAAGCCAATTATAATCCTTAAGCTACTAAATTAAATGTTTGCTTAAATTTGTCTTGCATATTTAATCATTACATGGGAATATCAAGTTCTGTGAACCATCCACCAAGAGCTACATATCACTACCCAGTCCCTGCCTGCCAATCTTCCAACATTACATGAAGAAGTAGAATGAAAAAAATATGGTCAAAGACAAGAAAGGCTGGAACAGAGTTTTGGGGACCAGAAAGGAAAAACCTACTGGAAAGAACAGGGCATAATTTGGAATTTAGGCAGAAACGCTATGTTTGCTTATTTGGGAGTACAGTATGACCTTAAATGAGCTTATTTCTAAAGTTAATAGCTTTATAAACCATACTACTGATAGCAGATCATGACTTTATTTAGAAACACTTGAGTGCTACTAAGTAGCTTTATTGGTCAGGGACTAATACTGCAATGAGCTGGCAATCTGCTAGCATTTAACAAAGGCATAATTTCTTACTCTTCAAATGCTCACTTCTCACTAAACAACCCCAACCATTCCTTCATTGCAGTGTTGAACATATAAGTGAAAAGATCCTCAAGTTTCCAATGCATAAAAAGTTCAGCTCTAACTTTTCTTTGTATAAGTTGAGCCCATAACTGCCTAGGCCTCTTAATATATACAGTACATCTCAGTTATAATTAACTGACACATGTCACATACTCTTCCACAAGTGTTTTTCTGGGGAATATCAATAATATATCCCTTCCATCTGCCTAAACAGAAGTGTTAATATATATTGTGGATAAAGCTTCAGTTTTATCTCTTAACAATTATGTTCTAGCTCCATACAGTAAATCGCGACATAGTCCTAACCCATTCAGTTGGAGCAGGGGTCCCCAAACTTAGCTGGCTGGAGAATTCTGGGAGTTGAAGTCCACAAGTCTTAAAGTTGCCAAGTTTGGAGACCTCTGACCTAGAGTAACCTGATGTGAAACATTACTTCTTTTCATTACTACACTGCTAATTCATTTAAGAGTGTGGTTTGATAAATCTTCTTTAAAAGGAAAGATACCTACTTTACAAAATAATATATATGGATTGGCAAAATAATATCTATGGGTGTCAGTGTTTGCTTGAACAGGAGTATAATACATTCAAGAATATATTACACAAATGGAAACATTTTCTTAGTTTACATTATGAGGACTAAGTCAGTGTGATTTCATCAGCAAACTGTAATAAACTTGTCAACATAGGTTGCAGCCTGGCACTCACTTATGTAGGAATAATGGTTACTGAATTTATTTCTGAACAGAACCCCATAGAATAGAACTACCACTTTCAAACATTTTGATACATAAAATGAAATAAAAATCCTAAGTGCACCTATTGTACAATGCTTTGTAGATTTACTTAGAAATGAATTTAACTAAACACACACACTTCTATTTAAGCATCTTCTAATGATGTGTAGGAATGACATTTGGAGACAGGAGAAAGAGTTACAGACTACCGTCAAACAAAAGGTCTTAGCCCATAGAAGAAAAAGGAGTGTGGGAAGCATCTCAGAATGAATCCTCCTTAGATTTCTGGAAAGCAAAAGAGGGGATGAGTGCTTTTAAACTTGCAAAACTCATGCCATCCAGACAAGAAGCATAAACCTTGAATACTAATGCTACCTTTATTATAAAGTTACAGTAAGAGAATCTTTCAAGTCTTGAAGCACCTCTCCACTCCTTGGTAATCTAATCTATAGGTCTTCCTCTTGTCTCCAAAGGTTATTTCCACATACCATTAAAATACACATAAGTAGTCAGTGAATTTAGTGAAGCTCATTTCCTTCTGTCTCTCAAGATCATTCCCACATACCGTTGCACTTCTGTAAATTTATTTTTATTGAATGTTTTAGTTATGCTTCCATGTTGCATAAATCATATAAGTCTAAGCAATTAATGATATGCAATACAGGTAATACTTTGCATTAGATTAAAACATATCAAATATACTAGATATATCTATGATAATAATACTGTTGATGAAAATTCAATATAATTAAAAACTGTAACACCTGATCAGTCTCAGTTCAAGTACATCAGTCATATTTATTTCAATCCCCAAGTTTACACTTGAAATACTACATTTCTAGTACTACAATACTACATTTCTAAAAACTTCCTGAATATTAGGAATGAAATATGAAGTTCTTATATTTGGTACGGTACATTCCACAGGGAGCTTCTGCTCACTTCTGACTCACCTCTAATTGCACTTTAGGATTCAAATCCCAGTGTATTCATGGTACAAAAAAATTATTTGGAAGAGGTATTTTATAGTGTTTCTCCACTTGTCAGCTTTAAGATATGTGGACTTCAACTCCTAAAGTTGAACTATCGCTTAATGTGTCTCCTTAAAATAGCTTTTTAAAAGCTCATGTTGAACCACATCAAAACCACAGTTGCTTTAAAGAGGCATTATATTTGTGCTCGTGTGTATTCCGAATTTCTGCTTCTGAGTCAATTTTGAAGCATGCATAGCCTTAACATAAAGTTAAATTTTCTTTGAATGATTGGTGTCTCATATCTTTCAGCCTTCAAAAAACACTATAAAATCAAATCCTAATCAAATTGTAGTAACATTCCTCTCAACTTTCAGTAAAAGAAGCCATTTGTGATAAAGATACCTTTTTAAAATATAATTTAAGTTTCATATAACTTGCTCGTATCCTGCTAGCAAACAAAAACAACTACCTTGTGAACTCAGATAATCAGTCCCAGGTTTTCTGATGTATTCCCCAAGAATCTTGATCTGGTGAGGCCGAGTATTCGTGAGTCTTGCCTTACAATTGAGGCTAGATAGATACAGATGGAAATTTGCTCCTTTGGGTAAGCATGACCCTTGCAGAAATAGCTCTGGACAGGTAAGAGGATTAATATAAAGGAATTAGCAAACTCTGTTAATTAGTTCAGACCAATGAAATGTGAGGCTTTCCAAAGACTTAAAGGATTTAATACATAGGTATAATTGTGAAGAGAAGCCAACCAGAATTCTGGATGAACCCTAAACATTGGGGTTAGCAGTAGCTAAACCATCTGGAAATACAGGAGACGAATAAGTGATAGGACATGTGGCACCACTATTAATATTTTTTAAGAGTATGATTGACATGTGAATTGAGTACACTTTCCCAATGAGCTGCTATTGAATTGGTACTGCTTTCTTTTTTATTAGATACTGAGGCCTGTAGTATTTTGTACTTATGATTAGCCATATCACTTAGACTTATATACTACTTCACATTGCTTAGCATCCCTCTCTAAGTGCTTTACAGAGTCAGCATATTGATGACTCTGTAAACTCCCAACAATCTGGGTCCTCATTTTACTGACCTCAGAAGGATGGAAGGCTCAGTCAACCTTGAGCCAGTGAGACTCGAAATGCCGAACTGCTGTGAGTCAGCAGTCAGCAGAAGTAGCCTGCAGTACTGCATTCTAACCACCGTGCTGCCATGGTTAGTGCCTTTTCTCTTTCTGTCTTTGGTATTGATACTAAAGGAGTGGGAAATTAATATGATACTATTGATTTTTCAAGTTCTTTTGACAATAAAAATTGTAACTTATTGTGATTCTGAATGTAAGAATATAGAATAAAAATATTGTTTCAATGTTAATATCTTCCCAAAAGATTGTAATATCTCTTTGCTGCCATGGGTTTAACCTAGGATTTAATGTAGGTGCTAGAGAAGTCAGCCTTTCAAATTCAGCTATCATGTGAAGGTTAGAGGAAAATACATTGCCCTTCTGACTGGCTTGCAAAATTGACATCCATAATGTTGGTTTGCAGCATCAAGAAGGAGAAGTTTTGCTCTCCTTAGCCATAAACTGATTTAAACTCAGAGCAAAAGGTGGTTATTCAGAATTGCACAGGTTTAATGGAGACCAGGGATATTTTCAGGAATGCATGTATGTCATTTGGGGTAACAAAAGGATCTCTGCGTATATCCTTTAAAAAAATTATTAAAGTTTAAAAATACAAAGATCTAAAAAAAACTAATGCAAACTAAGAAAAATACAAAGTGTGTGTCTGTTTGTGTATATATCCATATTGGTTGGAAACATGTGGAAGAGGCCTTTACCCTGCAATACAATGACTAAAATGATATAATGATGATGATATACAGTGTGTGTGTGTGTGTGTGTGTGTGTGTGTGTGTGTATCTTTGGTTATTTGGATTTTCTCCCGCGTAAAATTGGAAGTATCTAGGCGATATTTCGATGAAGTCTCATTCGTCATCTTCAGGCTTGTGTCTTTGGCTTTGTGCTTCTCAGAGTAATGTGAGCTTACAGCTGCTTCTTCCTTTTAACTGCTAGTGGGGGTGTGACTTGATTGGGTGGGGGATTGGCTGTGTTCTGATTGGTTGGGGGGTTGGCTGTGTTCTGATTGGCTGGGGGTGTGTTCTGTTCAGGTGGGGCTTGGTTGTGCTCAGCTTAGTCTTAGTTGCTGGGGGATTTGAGCTGGTGAACTGTGATCCTGTTGTTTGGCTTCACATTCGTGGTCATGCCACATCTTCATGGTGGGCGTCAGTCCGCTTCATATATGGGTTGAAGGGGTTTGAAGTGGTAGTGATGCAGCTGCGGTATGGTCGTGTCTCATCTTCTGTGTGGGTGCGAGTCTGCTTTCTATGTGGAAGTATGGTGGTAGCATCTTGTGTGGCCCACGTGGGTGTGGGTCTGGTGTCATTCTTCATGTTAAGTACTCGTTTGTTAATGAGGGTGGGTTTCCAAATGACTGGTAGGAGGGAGGTATCATCTCGTTTATTCATGCTGTGTGGGTGTTTTTCTATCTCTATGGCTTCTCAGATTATTCTGTTGTTGAAGTGTTCGGTTTTGGCGATAGTTCTGGTATTTTTAAAGTCAATCTCAGGTCCTGTGGCTTTGAGGTGTTGGACCAGGGAAGAGGTCAGTTCTTCTTTTTTGATTGAGTTCTTGTGTTGTTCAATGTGTGCACTTATTCTTCTGTTGGTTTGTCCGATGTATGTGGTGGGTCAGGTAGTGCAAGGGATTTCGTATACTCCTTGGTTTTCTAACTCGATTCTGTCTTTAGGGTTTCTTAGGATGGTGGATATTTTTCTGTTTGTGCAGAATGCTGTCTTAATGTTGTGTTTTTGGAGGATCTTGCTGATTTTGTCTGTAGTGCCTTTTATATATGGGAGGAGGGCTTTGCCATTCTCTTGTTCTCTGCCTTGGATTTTGGTTGGGGTTTCTTTTTGGATTAGGTGGGTAATCTTCTTTCTTTGGAATCCATTGGCTGTTAGTACGTTAGTGAGAGTGTGTAGTTCAGTTTTTAGGTGTTGTTTGTCGGCTAAGCTTTTTGTTCTGGAGATGAGTGTCTCGGCTACGGAATTGATCTGTGCTGGGTGTGGTGTGAGAGTGTGTGTAGATAGCAGTTTGTATGTATTTTCTTCTGGTAGATGGTGTGTCCTAGGGAGCCATTGGATTTTTTGTATACTAAGACATCTAGGAAGGGAAGTTGAGTGTTAGCTTCTACATGGTGAATTGTATTTTGGGGTGTAGGCTGTTGAGGTGTGTGAGGAAGTTGTTCAGTTTTTCTTTCCTGTGTGGCCAGATTATGAAGGTGTCATCTACGTATCTGAGGCAGAGTTTGGGTTTGTGATCATATTTTTCTAGAGCTTGTGTTTTAAAGTGTTAGAGGTTTGCGATGACAGGTGAGAGGGGGGATCCCATGGGTGCTCCTTCTACTTCTTTGTATTTTTTTCCATTGTAGGTGAAGTATGTATTGGATAGGCAGTGGTTGGTCAGATCTAGGATGTGCTTGGAGGGGTTGTATTTGTTTTGGATGGCTGTCAAGGCTTCTTTTATAGGCACTTGGGTGAAGAGGGATATGACATTGAAGCTCACTAGTAGGTTGCTGGGTTGTAAGTTTTGTTTCTATATGATCTCGATGAACTGGAATGAGTTTTTTACATGTGAGTTGATGGATTCTGCATAGGGCTGTAGTTGTTTGGTGAGAAATTTGGCTAGGTTTTGTAGAGGTGAGCCTATGGAGCTGACTATTGGTCTAAGTGGGGTTCCTTTTTTGTGTATCTTGGGGAGACCATAAAGCTTAGGGCATCTGGATGATTTCTCTCTAGGTATGATTCTTTGCTGGATTTCTTCGCTGATGGGGGAGGCTGTTATTTTGGATCTGGTGGTTTTTACTAGTTAGGTGGTGGGGTCTGTGTTTAGGGGTTTCTATGTGGGGTCTTGGAGTACGTTGGTTAACTTGGTTTGGTAGTCAGATGTGTTCATAACCACTGTTGTGTGGTAACAGACCGTCGCCTCCCTGTCCACAGATGGGTGGGCGCTATCACTGCCTTGGGCAGCCTCTCCTGGTGGCCCTTCAGGTTTGGGCTGGAGGGACTTGGGAGGGACTTGGGAAGGAAGCCAAGCTCAGGTCTAATTACCTTTTTGCTGCTTATTTTCAAATTACAAAGTTTTTTCTTTTAAGTCCTTAAACTTATCAGAAACTTTTTTCACCAAAGATTGAAAGAAAATCACCCAGTATAATAAAACTCATCTTTCAGGAGGTTCTTAATATTCAAAATGCAATTTATAACTCATGTTTAGGGAAAATTGGAGTATTAGGTATATTCACTGCCTTGAGTTATTTATAAAAATAATAAATGTGGGATATAAATAAATGAATTCCCAATGAAAGTGATTAAGAGAGGACGTGTGCAAACCCAGTGTCTCTTTAAGGATTCTGAACTGTGGTTTAGGCAATCTACATAAATGACCTCTGTGATCATATTAAGAGCAACTGTGTTCTTTTTGCTGATGATGTAAAGCTATTCAACACCACTGACAATACTGCTACCCTTCAAAAAGACCTCGACTATATATCAGAATGGTCAAACAAATGGCAACTTCAAATCTCAACAAATAAATGCTCTGTCCTACATATTGGCAAAAAATAAATAAATCAGAAAATAAAATACAAGCTGAATAGTCCAAACTCTGTCAAGGACCTTGGAGTTCTCATCTCTAATGATCTAAGTGCTAGAGCCCACTACATAGCCAAAAAGGCATTAAGAGTTGTTAACCTAATCCTGCGTAGCTTTTTGACCGGTAATAACACACTACTAACTAGAGCATACAAAACATTTGCTAGACCAATACTTAAATACAGCTCATCAGTCTGGAACCCACATTATGTATCTGATATTAATACAGTTGAGAAAGTCCAGAAATATTTCACAAGAAGAGCTCTCCACTCCTCTGCTTCTTGCAGAAGCCAGCAGACTTGAAATTTTAGACCTAGAAAACCTACAACTATGGTGCCTTCAGTCCAATCTAAGTATAGTACATAAAATTATATATTGCAATGTCCTACCTGTCAATGAATACTTCAGCTTCAACCATAACAATACAAGAGCAAACAATAGATACAAACTCAAGGTTAACCATACCAAACTTGATTGCAGAAAATATGACTTCAGCAACAGTGGTCAATGTTTGAAATACTCTACCTGACTCTGTGGTTTCTTCCCCAAACTCCAAAAACTTAGACTGTCTACTATTGACCTCACCCCTTTCCTAAGAGGTCTGTAGTGGGTGTGCATAAGCACACCAACATTCCTACCGTCCCTGTCCTATTGTTTTTTTTCTTATATGTATCCATTTCATGTATTCATAACTATGTTTATACTTATACCTGTTATCTTATAATCACTTGACAAAGCAAAATAAATAAAAATAAAATAAAAGCTAATTCTCCCTGCTCCAGAGACTCCCTGGAGACTGC